CCCCCCCCCCTCCCTCCCCGTCTGTCTGATGATAGCTACCTCGACCTGTCTCCTTCTGTCTCTCTCTCCACCAAACACACACAACCATGCACCTGCTGCTAACCTTTTATCAGGATGGATGTTATGAACGTCAATCATCTTTAAAAAATATATTTATTGCATTTTCAGATGTCACAATGCTTGATTCTAAATACTCAGTGTGGCAAAGCGTTGGTAAAGATAATATTATATACGATTATAAGGGATAGTCCTCCAAAATAATGAAACTTCTGTCAACATTTCCTCACCCTCATGTAATTTTAAACCTGCATGAATTTTGTTCTTCTGTTGATCACAAAAGAAGGTATTTTGAAGAATTTTGGGGTAAAATAACACTGAAGCCCATTGAATTTCATTGCATGTAAATAAATGCATTTCTCAAAATATTAACTCCAAAACTGTTTTGAAAAGACATCAGAATGAGTAAACATTCCTAGTAAGTAATTATATGGATAGAGGGAGTGAGAGATGTATGTTTTTATGCTATGTTAATGATGTACTTAATTGATTTCCTGGATGCCATTTATTTAGATTGATTTTGCTTGAGATACGTTTCAAAACTTGTCTTGTACCATTTGTGCTACAGTTATACTTAAAATTAGATGGCTTGTTGAAGAGAGTTGTGCTATTACTTTTCCATGATTTTTTCCTGGTGGACAATAAAACAGTTGAAAAAAAAATGTCCCATAATAGCCTTATATTAAATGAGGGAACTAAGCCATATTTAGAGACCAGAATATCATAGACACTCGAAGGTTGGCCCTTTGACTTGGTCCAGCAACCTGCTATATCACCCTAGCAAAGATATTACATAGCAAGATGCAAAACAACAAAAAGCAACCACTTATCAGCGCCTTGGGAACTACCCAGAACACCTTAGCAAATGCATAGCAACATGTTACAAAAAGAGTCTGAACAATTTTACAACTACATGTAGCAACATTCAGGCATCTCATGGTGGTGAGTTTTGCATGGGCAAAACTTACTTATATTTTGTACAAATTTAATTTTCCTTACATCCAATAAATATTGCAAGCGTACATTTGGGGATGCATATGGAACTGTAGCTCATGCCCATCTCTTTGATTGTTCTTTTTTTTTTTTTTTTTTGTAAGTAAATGCTGGGGAGCTTTTTGTTGTCTTTAAGCATCTTAAGATGCTGTCTCAGCAGCATCACTGTGTAGGTGGAGGCAGATATCATAAAGCACCACTGTGATCAGCATTCTTTGTATATATCTTTCCCTTTAAACTCACCCTCTCCTTCCTCCTTTTGTTCTTTTCTCTCACCCTCTCTTTTTATTTCTCTCTCCACCTTTGATGTGCCAGTTTCGTCTAGCCTAACGCAGGCAAATCCAGGGCAGCAGGCCAATGGTAAACAGCAGCATTGTACCTACATCAATATGACAAGGCAGTTATTTGTTTACCATCCTGAAGTTAAGCACAGCAAGGCTGGTTAAGTGTATCACAGGAGACCCTTATAGCCAAATGAGAAATTCTCCTGTTTTTCCTTCCTGTCTCATGAAATTGGTGTCACTCGCATCTATTTATGTGATTACCCTCGAGCAGTGTTTGCTAAAGCACAACACAGCCTCCCCAGAGTTAAACAACCAACAGTAGTATGCTTTTTCATTTATTTATTTTTTTGTTTCACACTATCGTTTTACAATTTGCACATACTACATTTACAAACTTAAAGAGATAATGCATATACCAAAATGCATATTCTTTCATCATTTACTCTCCTTCATGTCGTTCCAAACTTTTATGACTTTCTGTTGTGAAATACAAATTTAGCTGCATATTCAGATTTGGTACATTGTGATTGATTTGAAGACACAATTATTGATGTCAATCTTGAAGCGACGCATGTTCCTGTGTAATGTTTCAGAAGACTTGGAATGAGATAATTTGGTGTGAATGCTTGGTTCTGCTTTTGAACGCTCCTCCACCACGTGTCTACTGTATTTAGATGCGTTCCAACAGTGCAGACTGCTGTTGTGTCTTTTTGAATTAGCACCGTGTAGGGACTTAACTGTAATTTAAGTCGTTAATTCTATAAGGGAATTAATCATTAATTTTATTTCTAGCTCATGCATGAATCACATGCTGTTTGTGGCGAGTATTTCTGCAAGTTTTTTTTAAGAACTTCTTATAAAAATATCATCACCGGAAAATGATGCCGAATATCAATTTTTCACTCACACCTTCTGTCTGTGAATAAAACAAGCTCTCACCCGATACTAAACTTCACATATCTTACACACATATTAAATGCTTTGTCTGCTAAAAAAGAGTTATAAGGCAAATATTAAAATATCATAGATTCCAATAAACACATCAAATATATATATACGGCATAACACATACAGTGGATACATTTTCACTACTTATGAGTTTTTAAACGATTTATCTTTTAAAATCGTCATGCAAGGTTCCGTTTCTTTTGTTGTAAGAGAAGTTTGTAAGGGTTTCAGACAGTGGCAGGAAGCAGATGTTCCATGGGTCATGTGGCGTCACGCTGTATATATAGAATCACATTATCACTGTTCCTTTAGGTCTGTTGTTCTGCAAGCCCGAGGGTGTGATTAAATTACTCATCCTTTTCCTGCTGTATATAATAGTTGCACTCATTGGTATATTTTTTTTTTTTTATAGAATTATAGTTGTAAACCCAAACGTAGATATACTCCAAAAAGAATTTGGACAGTTTTGAACAAATAAGGCACACTTAAAATGAATAAATTAGACAACAAAATGTCAAACCAAATGTGATCAGCAAACAAATAATTTGAGACCCTTTCTTTGAACTAACATCTTTGTTTTTCATCTATTATTTAATAATTTGATTTTGTGTGAAAATACTTGTGCTATCTTAAAAATAAATTCCACTATAAATTCTGTAAGTTGCAAAGCCAAATATAGATAGAGAGATGGAGAGAAACAGGGGCGAAGAAAAAAAATGAAATAGCATTTAATATCATGCTCTCTTTGGAAGGCAAGGATGCAAAGTCCATTTTGTTCCCTTCTAAGAATCTGTTCCAGTGTGCCCGTGGAGCACTTCCAGAAACTCACTTTGATGTAACCGTCCCACTCATATTTTGCCACACCAGAGTCTTCCAGACCAGGGCTTTTCTGAAATAATTTTCATTCAAGCACTCCGGGAGCTCTGCCAATTACCAGTGAGTTGAATTGAGTTCATTACACTGTAGGTTTAAATCACCCCTTTTGATGCACTTAGTGTCACCAGCTAGGCTGTTTCTCCCCTCCAGTACAAACAATGGCCATTACCTAACAAGACCGAAGAGCTGCTCCAGCAACAAAAGATCCATTAAATCTGCCACGCACTACTACTGCCTCCAATCGCAAGCCTTCTATGCTCCAGCTTGTAGCGCCAGGCTTCTGTTGCTGCCCACTGGGCATAAAAACAATTATTCTACATAATATGAGGCCTCCATTCAATTTCTGTGTATCAGTTTTTATTATTGGAGTCATGTGCTGGGGGTGGTTGGTATAGATACCTCATGATGGCTGATAGGGGGGAGATCTTTAGCTCCTTCTGTAATATTTCTGTTTCATAATTCACGTGGTGAATCCACAGCTTATGGGGGCCTGTTTCACAAGACAGAGACCTTACAACCGTCTAGTATGCACACATTTGATATTCCATTAGCGATACTTTTGAGTAAACACAACTCAAAAAACAGTGTAGCTGTAACATGTGTATGCGTGTATGAACTCTGAAATAAAGGACAGTGTTTTGATAGAACCTGATTTGGTTTGTTATTTCCTTTAGATCTCCACTCGCATGTGAAAAATCTGTTTCTCTTACTGCTGTAAGTAAGAAGTCAAAAGGAACACAGGAGTGGACACCCTTTCCTTTATCCTAATTTTTACTATAGTATGACATCCTAAAATCCAGTTAAATTCTGTCCAAAAACAGACCTATGACAATTTGTGCACAACAAATTGTAATCATAAAACCATCCCCTTCTGTTTAGCAATCAGATTACAGTGCTACTCAAACTGTTCATGTGAAGAGTGAGATCACTTGTCTGGTTACCTCACTGATTTTTCTGTTAAGCTCCCTGTTGATATCAACTTATAATTATCTTTATATCTTCTACTGTTCTGCTTTACAGTTATGTCATCACATTAATGTAACAATATGCTTTAGATTATTATTATTATTATTATTAGGAAATAATTTGTTTTGTATGAAATTTGACACCAGATGGTTAAGACAAATCTTTATCAGGCCCGGCTAAAGAGGGCTCTATGGAGTCTACTTCATATTAAAGTAAATGCACAGCACTTTCTTTGTTCTGTGGAACATTAAAGAAGATGTTTTGTCCATACAATGGAAGTCAATGGGCTCCAGTGTTATTTGGTTCATAGTGTTCTCCAGAATATCGTCTTTTGTGTTCTGTACAAGAAAGAAATGCATACAGGGTTGGAATGACATGAAGGTGAATAAATGATGACAGAATTTTCATTTTTGTGTGGAATATAACTTTACATCATTCTCTTTACATGTATTGGAAGATTACATAAACTTAGGTTTACATTTGTAATGTCTATAGACTGTAGTTAATCCAAAAAAGTTTGTTGATTATTGAGTGTTTTCTGTCTTTCTCCACAGATCCCCAGCTCAAGGGTATAGTGACCAGGTTATATTGCAGGCAGGGATACTACTTGCAAATGAACCCAGATGGATCTCTTGATGGGACTAAGGATGACAGTAGTAATTCTTGTGAGTTCCCTCTAATTTCATCATTATTGCACATAATAATCAAAATATGAACATGTTTCAGAAGGAATGACACCTGCTTGATATTTCAAGTGCACAAAATGCTACAGCTACACTTAAAAGGTAATGTGTGCACAAATGCATATCATTATTTTTACTACACACATTTATAAAATGCCTGTTACTGATTCATTTTATGTAGTTATCACTGTTGCTGATATGGCAGTAGGCTGGTCCTTGGGGAGCTGTAGGTTTAAATCACCCCTTTTGATGCACTTAGTGTCACCAGCTAGGCTGTTTCTCCCCTCCAGTACAAACAATGGCCATTACCTAACAAGACCGAAGAGCTGCTCCAGCAACAAAAGATCCATTAAATCTGCCACGCACTACTACTGCCTCCAATCGCAAGCCTTCTATGCTCCAGCTTGTAGCGCCAGGCTTCTGTTGCTGCCCACTGGGCATAAAAACAATTATTCTACATAATATGAGGCCTCCATTCAATTTCTGTGTATCAGTTTTTATGCTTCACACTATCCCTGTTTTTGCACTCTGTGGAGTGTGGCCCGTGTTCAATTTATGGGTTGAGATTTGAAGCCCATTGTTTATCATTCTAATTCCATTTTAGTGATGTTTGCTATTATTATTAGGGTTAGAGGTTTGTTCTACATCCTAATCACTCTTAGAACTGCATTGCAACATTCAAAAGCACCATAGCAACCACATACTCACATTTCTTCAAAAATTGTAATAGTTTTGTTTTAATTTTCAAATTTGACAGTAATTCCTCAGTTATTTTTTTAGATATAATTTGTTGAATTTTGAATTGATGGGAAAGTCATGTTTGTTAACCCCCGTATTGTCTTTACAGCGTTGTTCAACCTTATCCCTGTGGGCCTTCGGGTCGTTGCTATTCAGTCTGTGAAGACGGGCTTGTACATTGCCATGAATGGAGAAGGCCATCTGTACACATCAGTGAGTACACGGTTGTATACTTGGGATAACAATTCTAACAATCCTATTGATTGAACTTCAGATGTTTGTGACAAATTCAGGCATTACAGATGGCAGACTCTGTTGCGCTGTTACAGAACCTAGTGAATTACTGTTTACATAAGCAGCATCCTTCTAAGGCAGTATCCTACAGTTATAATAACTGACTGATTGTACATGGGAGAATTGATACACAACTGATTTTACATTAGCTATTCTATAGATGCTATTATTTAATAGCCAAAAAAATACACAGCACACACAAATATTGGGTCAAATATGTATGTCTTATAGAGAAGCTCACTTTAGTTCTGAAACAGGTTTTGATTGGATTTTAAATCTACCATAGTTTAACTTAGAAACATCATGACTTTGCGATGTTGAACACATACAAAATCTGCAGTCTGCCCACTCTCGCTCACAATATCTGTCAGTGGTTCACTCTGAGATGTTGGCATGGCCATCTCATTTACAATGACACATCAGCTCAGGCTCAAAGCTGATACCCTCTTCACTACTGCTTTATACACCTTGAGCTCAAACTCATCTGAAGAAATATTCTCACGGCAGATAAGAGATGAGTCATTGTGACCACCACAAATTTTTGAGCAGAAAATCTTGTGATCTATTATTTCTTTCTCTAATAACTAATATTGCACTAGAAGTTGTATCTGTCCAGATAGGTATATGGGTAGCTGAGAGAAGTTAAGTAGAAATGTCTTCACATGCCAGAAATCATTATGTAGCTATAATACATAATAGAGCATGTCTCTGTTATGGTTTTAGTTTTAAATGCAAACCACAATTATGCACACCATTAGTGGTTTTATCAAGATCTGTTGCTGAAACATTTGTACTACATTAAAGTCTTCATGTTTACCATCAAACATTACATTTAGCCTACAGCGCAATGTATCCACCTTGACCAGATGGTCATTAATTACTGGCAACCATGGCAATCAGTGAGCTGCTACTTTTCCTCTCTGGTGCTGGTCATTATTTGACAGAGGACTGAACCGTACAAATTCATCTTTTTCATGAGCACTTGAGTGAATCCTGTTGATACGCAATCTATAGCTCCAAAAATATTGGAACTTTGCATTGTAGCACTTCTTATGTTGCTACTTCCTTAGAATGAATCACATTATTTTCCTCATTTATCAGAATCAGAATCAGAATCAGAATGAGCTTTATTCAAGTGCACAAAATGCTACAGCTACACTTAAAAGGTAATGTGTGCACAAATGCATATCATTATTTTTACTACACACATTTATAAAATCCCTGTTACTGATTCATTTTATGTAGTTATCACTGTTGCTGATATGGCAGTAGGCTGGTCCTTGGGGAGATGTGTGTGTGCATGTGAGGTGATAACTCAGTGGTGTATTATTAGCCTCTACTGGGCCTGCTTTTCAAATGCTTCAGGCCAGCTGCTTAATTTGATTTTAATATGCAGCTGTAACGAAAGAGTGACAAACAGAGGGCTCTCTGTCAGTCACACACTCCAAGAGAAGATGACACTTGACATTTGTGACACTAAGAAACACACCTACACAAATGCAGAAAATACAGGGTTTCCGTGGGGTCTTAAAGTCTTAAAAAGTCTTACATTTAGTTGTATCACATTTAAGGCCTTAAAAAGGCTTAAATTGTACAAGAAAGTCTTAATTATGATTTCAAGAGGTCTTAAATTTGGGGACGGAAAGACCAGAATTGCGATATGGCTCAACGTGACGATTAAACTTCAAAAGGCTATGAAACATGAGTGCTGCACGTTCAAAGTCCGGTGCTGCGCTGCTTTGTGTTCTGCCGTTACCGGGGAAACGGTTATATTTCTACCAAATGCGCCTCCTGCTAGCAGAGAATGAATGTGCAATTTCAATAAAACTTGTTTTGATCAGAGTTCAGACAAATGCGAAAATCCACCCATGTTTTTACACTGCAAACACGCGGACCTTTAAATGTGAACTGGTAGATCGATAAGAAAACAATACATTATAAAAATCTACAACAGTATAGGTGTGTGCGATATGAATGGTCTGCCTTAATATCGTAATTGTTGTTTTAACAATGTGCGATTTGACATTATCGAGTATATTGCGAAAAGCAAACAAAACACACCTACAGAGTGCATGCATACATTACGTGATGAAGTCTAGTAAGTTAAAATAGGTTAAACTAGTGCACGTACGCATTTAGAGTGCCTACTTTCACTGCATGAATCAGTCTATTAAAATGCATTTAGAATTATCACATAATTCAAGATATGGGGGCAGGCAATGTATATATTTATATCCAAACAAGAAGTTAATATTAAGAGACTTACGTTTTAGACACCATATTGCCTGCTTTTGCTCTATTTCGCCAACAAAAATCATACCAAACAAAGCCACAGCACTGTTTTGCGTCTCTGAGCAACATGACAGTGTTTCGTTCCTGAATGAATCAACCGTTTAAATGATTCGGTTCAATTGCAACGACTCACTTATTAACAGTGACTTGCTGCCACCTACTGGCGGTTTTAACTTCACATTTAAATTATCTTTTAATTTTTTCAATAATTTCAAACATCAGTTTTGAATGTTTCATGTTTAAAATATCAAAACATTATTTATGCATTTGTAACTGCAGGTTAAAGTATTCCATGTCCCTCAGAGCTGCATTAAACAGTGTGTAATTGCATTTAAATGCCACTTCAGATGTAGCTTCTGTGTTTTCTCTGTATTGCAAAGATGAATACTGTTGATACTGATTTCATTTGCTTGGTAAAAGCCCAAATGCAAGAATTTAACTCAAAAGATCATGCACACTTTTAGAAAAAATGGCTTAATGGTAAAAATGCCCATAAAACTTGTTGGAAAAGATTAATTTATATCACTGCTGTGAACTGACCACGTAGAATATGAAGAATATAAAAAATTCAGGAGTCAGCTGTCCATGGTAGTCCTTAAAATACCAGTACAATAACACTCAGTGAAATATCGTCTAATTATCGTTATCGATAAAATCCCAGAAAATATAATTTTTTGTCAATATTTCACACCCCTAATTTATGTTATTTAATTTATATAACAATTTATTCATAATAATTGTTTAAGTTAATAATTAATACTTTTGACTCATCCATTTTCTTAAAAATGGTTTAAAGGCTGAAATGTAAAGTTGATCATTTGTAAAACTTTTTGTTTTTGTGAAAACTGGTATCTGAACTGTAAATTATGCTTTTTACAGTAATTTTACAGTTTAATATGGTACTATAGGCATTGCCATACCCCGCTCGTATGGTATTAAATTTATTTGTGCAGGTCTTAAAAAAGGTCTTAAATTTCAGCTTAAAAATCCTGCAGAAACCCTGAAATAAATGTAGAGTTGGCATATAACAATATAAAAACATTGTTTGATTATTTTTTTAGATACATAACATTTTTACTAAAGTAATCAGTTTCCCTGAAGTAATCCAACAACAGCAGTTACTAGATTTTCCTTTCCGAAAGGAACTGCGGAGCACACCACGGAGGAAGCCATCAGCGTCGGCGCCATCTTACTACCTCTTTTATAATTCATTTTGGATAAAAGCGTCTACTGAATTAATACATTTAAATTTAAATGTAAGAGTCATCACATATAGATAACTTTGCATACAGAGAAAGGGTGATGTAACATAACCCCCAAAAGTATTTAGATAGTTTTGGACATTTAAGCCACACTTAAAATAAATAAATTGAACTGCATTAGATAAAATGTCAAACCAAGTGTGATCTGCAAATGTGATTTTACACCTTTTCTCTGAACTTTTTTTGCTGTTTTTGCAGTGACCAGTTGGTCTAAAAAATAATTCAACTATTGTTTCATAATTTGAACTTTGATGTGAAATGTTTTGCTTGAAAAGTGTTTGCGCTAAGATAAATTCCACTTGCTTTGATATATATTTTTTATTGTTGTCATATATTTTCTAAAGTGCCCCATGCATGTTTCCAATTATACAGGTATTTTTAGTGCTAGACATTAGTTTTAAAATAATGGTTATATGGACTAGACATTTGATATGCAGAAGCTGTTCTTCCATGGTAACAAGTAAAAACGTCCAATATTCAGCCACAGCTGACCCAGCATATTTCACTGGGGAGTCTTATACAATGACAATCTTTCTCGGTCCTAATGGGTTTACTAATCAACTCTATGGATGCGCCCACACACTCTCTCAGCTTTCTATCACTGCTTCTTTTCTGCTCTCTCTGTTCCTGTGTGAATGACTCAGGTAATGGCAGAGAAAGCTCCCCTCCTTTTTCTCTGTCTGCTCTCTGAGGTTTGTACATTCATTTGTCATTATTCCTCTTTTCTATGAGAATTTGCAGTTATTACCTGACCCTCCGTCCATTAGAGGCCATTTTTCATTAGTGAATAAAAAAAGCGCACTTATCCTGTAGATGCCCTCAGATTTTTATAAAAAAATGACATTTAATTCTAGCACTACAGCAAACATGAGTTTAACCATTTTTAACCATTTTGAAGAGCTTCATTCTTAATAGAGTTTATACTTTCTGATAAATTACATTAATAAAAATAATAAATGGAATTAATAGTATTTGTAGCATTTTGGGATAGACTACAAGGCAGGAAAATAAACCAGAATGAGATTTATTATTATTCTGAGACCACTAAAACGTATCTGCTGTGGCTAATATGAGTTTTGAAACAATTCTGTGTCCGTTTCTGTCATTCCAGCATTTTATTGAATCACAGATTAATAACATTTTATAGTGTACGATCAATCGTTACTTATTTGCCTTCATCAGTCAAACATAAATGAAGGCACACTGACAGCCCACTTTGATTAGTTGATCTCTATTCTCTCTTAGAGTCAGGCTGAGAGAATACGATAGTCCTGTTGAATAGAGTAGAATTCCATTAAGAAGCTCTAGCACTGTATCCTGGTCTTTTGTCTGTCAAGCCTTTTTTTTTTTGTACAGCGCGGGAGT